AAGAAATGTTTTTTTAAATGTAAATTTGTATTGTTTCAAATCAAGTATGAATTATTCAAAAATCAAGAACAAAGTATTCGATTTGTACAGGGTTTGATTGTTTCCTCCTAACTTAAAATGTCTGTGTCCACCCCTGATTACAAGGTACATAAAAATTTACCATATATGCTTCTGATGTATTGTATTTCGACTGAATTTCCCTGTTTTTGCTACCACAAGTTCAATGGGATAAATTAGCAGTTAAACTTATTGGTAAACAGAAAAAGTAATTTAGGGATGTAAATAGACAGGCAACGATATTTTGGCTAACTTTTTAATTATTATTGATGTCAAAACAAGATCAATTCCATGTGGAGACTGTAGACCACGTTAATTTTTAAGGTTGTACTCTGTCAGATTTAGAGTTTTTGCTCAATAAACATATTTATAAAACAAATCTCAAATTGGTTCCAAAGAAAAAGAGGGGAATTTAACAGGTATATAAAACTGCATGTTCTGCTTAAGATAGAAATTAACAAATTCAATTATTAAGTTCTTGATTTAAAACTATACAAGTACTTATGTCCACTGTCTTTATGTAGTTTTTCTGCTCAATTACATCTAGTTACATAATATCACTAAGTTCAATTATCTAGTGCTATTTGCAGGATAGAGTATATATACAACATCGGTGATTGATTAAAACCTCATGCTGAGGAGGGAAAAGATGGTTGCCAACTTTTTTGTACTTGATTATGACCCTATGACTTTTTGATGTGTATTTGTATGTTGTGATTGAATATTGTAACATGATTTCAGCTTATTACATTGTATGTGTATGTGAGTTTTATGTGGTAGTTGATACCCAATTTACCTTAAAATTTGTGCATTTTGAATATTGTTTTGTCTTTTCGTTTAGTTTAGTTCATATTATAAGGAAGATAATACCGAATTTTTTTAGATGTTGGTTGTTATTTGATACAAACTTTTTAAAAATGAAAAATGACCAGTCTTCTAAAAAGACCATGGTCGTTTTTTTAAAAAATAAAAAGAATAGAGTCGTTTGATCTTTTAAAAAAAGGCCGCAATCTTTTAAAATGACCGCTATCGTTTTCTTAAAACGACTTTAATCATTTTAAAATATTACATTTGTTGTTTTTTTAAAGATTGGAGTCTTTTTTTCCTAAAATAACTTCAATTGTTTAAAAAGACTGTAGTCATTTCAAAAACGACTACATTCGTTCTAAAAGACTTAACAATCGTTTTTCATTTTTCTAAAAGTCAAACATTGTTATATACAATTCATCGTACTAAACTACACACCATTTAAGTAGATTGTATTCAATTTCTAAGTATACGACTTGAAATTGATTTGAATAAATTAAACCATCATGTATAAAAAGATGTCAATCAAACTCATAAGGATCCATTTGGTTTGTATTCCGATTTTCATTTTCGAGTTTTGACTTCATTTTCTATTTACTGTTTTGAGGGTCTGTTTTAAGATTTCTAAAATAAAATACATAAAGTCAAATATTTTTTATGTTAATATATTATCAAATATTATTTACATTTTTGAGCCCCATTTTTTCCACAAAATGCATTTTGGAATAGCATTTTGATAGAGAATGTGTGATTAAAAAATAAGAAAAAGTTTTGGATTTGTGTGTAATATTATTTTATTGAAGAATGTGTAGTTGAAAATAAGAGAAAGAAAAATATATTTTGAAATTAATACCAATCAAACAAGAGCATAAGTTGGTGAATCTTATAATTTTTTTTCAAGCTAAAAAAATAAAATAAAAAATAGAATTTATTTTTTTGAAAATATAAGAAATAAAAATAAAAACTAATGATGTGGATATAATATATTTTTGTTTGTGCTAATTTTTATGTAAATAATCATTAAAAGTTGGAGCTGTTTTTATTTTTTATTTTTTCTAATTTTTATTTTTATAGAAATTTTAAAAAATTTATTTTTTAGAATTTTAAACTTTAGTTTTTCAAAATTTTATTTTTTAGAATTTATAGATTTCATTTTTTGAATTTTAATTTTTTGTATTTTTTAAAATTTTATTTGTTAGAATTTTTATATTTTTATTTTCTAATTTTTTAAATTTTTAAATTTTATTTAAACATTTGTTTTCTATATTTTGAGTGTTTTCAGAATTTTCATTGAAAACACTCAAAATGTCAAAAATGTGTTTTGAGTTTTATGTTATAAATTTATCATTGCTTTCAAAAATATATTTTCACAAATAGCAGACCAAACACGTTTTCAGTATTTTGAAAAATTG